TTTTGCATGTGTTTTCAGTTAATGCAGCGTTTTCTTTTTGCATGTGTTTTCAGTTAATGCAGCGTTTTCCTTTTGCATGTGTTTTTTTGGTTAATGCAGCGTTTTCCATTTGCATGTGTTTTGTTCAATACCGCGTTTGTGTCTTGCATGTGTTGTGTCTTTTGCATGTGTTGTGACCGTGTCGGCCACCGTATATAGTGCTATGTTATGTATTTGCAAAACTGTTCAAATAATTGTTTAATCTGTTTGACCTTTGTAAAGATTTGACCTGTGGACATGAAATGCTGTGAGGAGGTGCAGAGAGACTCAGAACAACAGGAAGTCGTGCAGATACATACTGAGATGACTAAACTGTCTGCACGAGAATTGTGTGTGGGTGTAAGGTCTGATTGTCTTGGCTTTAGATTATCAACATTTATCAACATTATATGAAATGCGTGGCCTTATAGGATTGACATTATAATCTGCATTAGCAAATATATCTACTGAGAATGTCACAGATCAAAATCTGCCTGGCGACAAGATCACCAAATGAGGGGTCAGAACGAGGTCAACAAACCAACCAAGGAGTGAGGATGAAGGACAACGCAGATGACGTCAGATCTACCATCATGACTATTATAAATTCTCTGTGCAGAGGAAACTCAGGGTTCCGGCTTCCTGCAGCAGCTATGCACTAACTTCTGTGTGTGTTAGGACTTCAGATAGAAACGGAATCCAGAGCTCTGTAATTGCTTTTCTTCATCAAGGTTGTAATAAATATTTTAAAGGTTCTTCTGACTTCGACTCTTCCTCAGAAATGAACATGCAGGACGCTATTTGTCTGAGCACAGTTATGCATGTACAGTAGTGTGAGGGTATATACAGTATGTATTGTGTGACTGTTCCTCTGTGTCCATGTTGGTTTTGTGCATTTATCATGGGAATATGTGCAGTGTTTGTTGGGCTTGTCTGTCACTCTGTCAGTGACTGTTTGCACATGTATGTCATGAGGGATGGTGTAGTTTCTGGTTGAGGTAGTGAAACAGGAATGGGAAGTTTTTGAATCAAAGAGCTAGGAGGTAAAGTAACGCACCAAAGTGGAAACTCAGACATAAACACAGACACATGCCTTCAAGCAGGTAGATTCAGACAAACACTGAGACTTGCATAATGCACACTGGTACACACTTTTTTTAAACTCTTGTGAAGACAGTTTCTCTCCCCTCCTTGTGTATTTGTCACACACACAGACTTGCAAAGCAAATTGTATTAGTCTTATTCATTTAATCATCTGTCTTGTTGTCTGAGGTCCATGTTGTGAATATCAGTGCACTGACAGCAAACTGACAAATTAAGGTGAATAGTTCAGGGCATAGCGTACTGTTCAGCTTCCTTGGGCAACCGTGTGTCAAGATGTGAGATAGCAGATTGGTGAACCTCAGTTTTAGGAGGAAATATGTGGATTTTCTCTGGATCAACAGTGCAGCAGTTTGTTTTACACAGGAGGGATGATGGGAGTTTGACCAACTTGCAGATGGCTTGTAATCGTGACCCTCAGGGTTTCTTACTGGATGGCAGGGCTGTTGATATGCAGCACCCAACTGTCTATAACCACAGAGAGAGCTAGTCCTGCATTTGTGGCAGTAAATCATGATGGATCTTCCAGGAGGAGCTAGAGTAGAAGTTAACGATGGGGGAAAGGTAATGTCGAACATGCCCAGCCTGCTGACTGCCTCATGAACTGGGCCTGAATAGTTGGCAGAAAATACTGACAAATAGATTGGGCGTCACAGCCACTGAACTAAGCAAGATAGGAAGATACTTTGATTTGGTGTAATGCAGTACATTGTCCGAACAATCTGAGTTAAGGTGAAGTCATATATGGATTATTAAGTATATAAAAAAGCACATGAGAATTAAAGTGCAAGACATGATACCAATGGAACAGCACAAAGAAGAAGAATAACAGACATGTATTGAGACATGTATACATTATACATCTTATCACCAAACCAATACATGATCTTTTTATATTGTATTTTTGTCTTCTCTCTTGTTCTCTCATCTAAAAGACAGTATTACCCTGATCCCCATCCGGTCCATGGAGTCCAGCTTATGAGGGTTGGAAAGCTGAAGCATCACCTGGAGCATGTCGATGAGGCTTTGGACATATTCAAACAGGTGCGATGGTCAGACAGACTTTACAGCATCTTCAGTCTAGTTACAGTTGAAGACTGAAGTACACACAACTTAGCCAAATATATTTAAACTGACATTTAATCCTGTAAACATTCCCTTAGGTCAGTTACATCCTGATTCAGCCTTGTTGTAGTGGAAGCTACCACACTTTAAGCCAGTTTATTTCTCCTTTCCCAGGCCTATGGGATCCTGAAGCTCACCCACGGTGATGATCACCCTTTGACAACTGATCTGTTGGTGAAGATGGAAGAGTGTCGCAGTGAGATAGATCAGCAGTCGTCAAGCACTCACTAAAATACAGACACAAGAACATTTCTTCTTTACTCTTACATACTCAACTCAATGGACTGTTGCTACTGTCATGCTTTAATTCTTTCAGTGTATTCATTAATCATATTTGTGATAAACACATATTTTTGGCTGTGGATTAATGCAGTTTGATATTAAAATCAGCTGCTTAGGACCAACCAGAATGTCCTCACAGTGATGGTATTACACCAGAGTTTGTCCACACACTGACACACTGGTTTCCCCTCTCAAAGAAAATGCTGTCATCAGTTTGCAAATGGTAGAATTTGGGGATTAACAGGGCTGCGGAAGGATTAGAGGGATATGTTTGCTTTAAGGTTACAAATAAAAGGTTTTGCATGTAGTGTAACACAAACAGTCACAGAGTAGCAGTGTACTGCTACTGCTACTGTTGCTCTGGGCACAACAGTAACCGACATGTTGGAGAAACCTCAGGTCACTCATCTATCCTGGATTAGTCAGATGGGAACTTTTCATTCTTTACTGTAGCAGGTTGTACAGCCTTAAAATATTTTGACGTTATTTATTGACAGTTACAGAAAACCTGAAGTACGTTAGCTAAAGTATGACCTTTTTATTTGTAATCAAAATGTTTCAGTGGGTCTAGGTGTCATGATCTGCCTGGTAAGGCCAAGGTAACTTATGATAGGAAATACCTGTGATCCTTCCATTATCTATTCTGCCTATCCTGGAGAGGGTCACGGGGGGCTGGAGCCAAGTCCAGCTGACATCGGGTGAGAGGCGGGCCCCACCCTGGACACGTCGCCAGTCCAAGGGACAATTTAGAGTCACCAGTCAACCTAAGAAGCATGTCTTGCACTGTGGGAGGAAGCCTCAGTACCCGGAGAGAACCCACGCAGATACAGGGAGAACATGCAGACTCCACCCAGGAAGTCCCTGAGTCGGGTGTGGCTCAAAACTGGCACCTTCTTGCTGTGAGGTGACAGCCACAATGTGCCTGTGCCTATGATCATTTATTTTAACTAGGCCAATAGATACTGAACAACTTTTTCAACGTTCTGATGCACATTTTTTTAAACTCGTGTCAGCAACATGTTTCCTTCAGTATGTGTGGGAGGAAAGAGAAAATGTAGGAGACTGAATGAAATGAATGTCAGTGTTATGGCTCTAGTGGAATGAATGGCAAGAGTCACTGTGTTGCTTTCTGTCTCTCACCTTCTCTCACCTCATAACGGCCATCAAATAAAATTTACTATCGCTTAACTATAACCCTGTGCCTCCCTCCCTCTCTGTCGCTGTCTCACTCCTCAGAGGCTTTCAGATTAAATTCACTAGTCACTGGTGTCTCGAGTCGCCCACTCACTCACTCTGGTGCCATTTACACCCCCCTCCTTTCAATTTTCATTCAGATTTCAGACACCCCCTCCCTGTGCTGCTCCTTCCCTCCCTCCCAAATGTATTGTCATCTCTCTTAAGACTATTGACATTTGATCTTTCTAACTCTGTTTAATAGTTTTTTTAATAGATCGAAATCACCACTTAACAGATCTGTATTTGATCCTCTCTTTCTCTGCTGCAGTTTGAAAGTGTAATATCAGCAAGACATGGTAGATTTCATTTCAGGAGTGGTTTCTCAAATAGCTTCCTATATTTCAGGGTTCAGTGATAAGAAATTGGTGGATGTTAACATATATTTGTGATACAGTAAATCTGTAGACCGTATCCCTCCATCATGTCCTCATCACTGGTTAGTTCAAAGAACTAAACATTTCTAGAAAAAAACATCAACTCATCAGATTAACTGTAGTAAATTTTGAAAAGTAAACAACTGAAATCTCTGTTTACATGTTACAGCTGAAATATTTTTCCCATATGAACTGTCTGAAGATGTTACTTTTCTTTTGTTTGTCACTGTAGGCTTACAGTAGGATGTTTGGGATTTATGTGAAAAAGAACAGAGAAGAGATTTAATTTTACTACTGAAGACGGCATTCAAGGGGTAATCAGTGGGATAATGAATCAGTATTAATCAGTATTGAAGTACACTGTGTTCAGCCGTTTTCTTTTTTCCCAGCACACATTAAGTCTTTACAGATTACAAATGGCTATGTTAGCCACCTGGACAGAGAAACTACCAGGAACACTCACTTGCATAAAACAAGGCTAAATGGACGTAACAGCTGAAATCTCCCACTCTCAGGAACAGCAACGAGGGGAAATCTTTGACTTTAGCAACAGAAATAATCTGGCTATTGTGGACAGGGAATTAAACCTTTCCACTTACCTGTGGTAAATTAGTCGTCAGGTGAGCAGAGAAGAGGGAGCGCTAGTACATTTCTAACAGTGATTTCACAGTATTGGTTTTTATATTCTGCCATATTTTCTGAATTAAAAGTTTTCCCTCACCCCCTGCCTCCCCAAATTCTCCTTTCTTTTTTCTTTATAGCTGTTTTGTTGTATTTCCCATGTGCTACTGTACCTTTATTTCCCCCCCCCTCTCTTTCTCCCATTCCTTTCTTCTCCTCCTCCCTGTTCCCTGCTGTGTATGAGCGATCAAAGCAGCAGGCTCAACACAGCAGTATGTCACAGAGAGAGCCGCCTACGGGGCAGTAAATGTCCACACACATGCACATACAATGGAAATGAAGTGATATCTCAGCACCTTCTCAGATCTGAAAGGGACATAGTTGAAGGTTTACAATGTGCTTTTTTAGAAGATAAAACAGAGCAGCTTTCCTGTTTCATTCTGGTAAATCAAGAGGCAATCAGAAAACTGAGTCCTGCTGACACTGCTGCTTGGAAGGGAGACATTTCCCCCCAGATGCTCTAAAAGTTATACGCATATAAGAATTATACAATAGTTACTGTGGTTTACTTCCAGCGAAACAATGCTTGTGGCAGAGTCGAGGTCATTTTTCATGGATGTGTCATTTTATTCCTGTGAGAAAGCGATGATGTTTCAGTTGTTAGTCTTTAGACAAACTTAACAGTAGCTGACTGAGACAGGAGGGTGCAGTGGGAGTAGTTTCTTGAATTCTGTCTAAGAGATGGGAGATGGGGTTGGACCATATCTAGCAGAAACAACCAGGTCGTCCAAAATTCAAAAACTCCCCACAGAAACAAATGAACTGTTGAAGCTTTGTAGGGGTCAACAGCAGTCTACCTGACAGTAGTTGGTGTGCATTGTATACTGTACACATGAAACCTAAATACTGTCATCGTCTTTGCATCTTGATCTTCTGCACAGAGGAACCCCAAAACAGAGAGTTCGGTAGGTGATGTGGAAAAAACAAACTAACTTTCAACATTAGATTAAAAGTCTATTAGGTTGTTTTATAAAACTCTGTCTGCCAGCAGAAGTTATCGGGCTGGTAAACAGGTAACTGAACAAAGAGCCGGCTTGACTCATCCTCTGTGTTTATTTGGAACAATTTAACAACATTGTCAAACTGATGTGGATTAAACTTTAGAGAGAGTCGGTACCAGATGTGAGTTTTGAAGAGGTGCAGATGATGAACAGCCTGGATTCACTGAGGCAGCCACAGCTGTGTTTTGGTGCATTAAACAGCAAAATAGAGCAAAATAAGTGCAGATGACACTCATGTTCCAATATATGGCACCATCCACTGGGCGCCTGCCAGCCTGATTTCAAGTAGATTTTTAAAATTTATGAATCAATTGGTGGCATATTGGTTAGCACTGTTGCCTCACAGCAAGAAGGTTCCGGGTTTGAGCCCGGGCCGACCTGGGGCCTTTCTGTGTGGAGTTTGCATGTTCTACCTGCATGGGTTGGTTGGTGACTCTAAACTGCCCCTAGGAGTGAGCGTGGGTGTGTGTGGTTTGTCTCTACATGTCAGCCCTGTGATAGACTGGCGACCTGTCCAGTCGTAATACAAAATGTGGGTATTTAACCGGGACAGGTCAGATGTGTAGATGGCGTTGTGACTGTTTTGTGTTCAGACAATGAAGAGTCAGATGTCAAATTTCTTCCATACATTCCTTTATTTACATCCGTCCATCTTGTGTCAGACCACATTTTTCAGAAACAGTAAATCTGCAGTATGACCACAGTCCTGAATCGTACCTTTTATGGCAAACACACAGTGGAAAATTTGCACTGCTCATGTGTCTGTAACCCTGGGTAATTCTGATTGACACTTTCAACTGATGCACAAACAGCATCCTGAACACCAGACCTTGAAAAGCTGAGCTGAACTAAAAGTGTCTCATACTGCTGCTGATAAAATCTGTTTTTTGAAATGTGATCTGACCCAGACTGTAACACACAATACTCTTTATGAAGATGCTATGTGTCTGTTTTCCAGATAACACATTATAATTCTAACATAGTGTCGATTCATCCTACAACCTGACCTGACAGATGGTGGTGTCATTTTAAGCACCTGACAACAGTGTGTCTATTTTAGCACAGTTGTCTCTAATGAAAAAGGAACCATTATTCCTGAAATGTTTCTGTGGACTGTTACGCTGGCTGTAAACAATACAGGGCCACTAAAACCGCAGGTGTTTCTCAGCATTATTGCTAGAATTATAAAGTGCTACCACAGTACATTTGGCAGTGACGTATCAGGGAGGAAACCTCACACATAGCATCTTAAATCTGGAAACAAGCACAAGCAATTCAGCTCATCCAGAGGTTGGGGTTCCCAAAGCACTCACTGCTAATTACACAAGGCTTTAGTTAATACTGCAGAAAATACTGGCATTTCACTTAAAACAACACAGCTGCCTTTATACTAAATACCTTTTTCTTCCATGTAAAAAAAAAATGAACCATGATTTTTACTTTTTTCTGCATTTATTCAGCAGAATTTCCTCTGGTGCTAGAACCTCATAACTGCCTTGGATGTGAATGTTTTAAGAAACCCAAACTCATGAAAAACCCAACAGGAACAACAGGAGCAAATGAAATCAACAATATATATATATATATAAAATAAGGATGAGCGCATATGTGATAGGTGTACTGTATATATTTATATATGGTATGGATATGAGCAAAATATGTACAGTTATTTTTTCTTAAATGCATAGTAATCTTTTACAATAAGGTGTAAATAAATAAGAACATTAATAAGTGACTCTGCTGAAATAAATAAAAACTTCATTCATGACTTGCATGATGACCTGGGAGGTAAAAAGAAATAATTGGAGCTGTCACAGGGTGAACTTTGGTGAAAACACTTCACGGGGCAAAAAGCGTCTGGGGTAATTTCTCACTGGCTCGTCTCATGGCTGTCTCACTGCAGGTGCGAACCACATGAAATCAGTGACTGTGAACATTTAAAGACATTTCTTCTTCATGTGTCAGTCCAGCCGGGAGAATAAAAACCGAGTTTGATCTACTAACAAACAGATAAATTTAGCACAACAAATCGTACCGATTTCAGAGCTTTTCCACTCCTGTGATGTCTATTCATTCTTTTACCTCTCAGAAAACAAACAGGATCTCCCAGAATGCTCTCTGCTTGGGGCAGACGGTGTTCAGAGGAGCCAGTGGTGAGGTTGAGAGCAATGGAGAAGAAGCATTCAAAGGGAATTGTTCTGTATTTCATAAGGAAACAGGCTCTTTATTATACTATATTTATACAAACATTTAGATCATAAACATCTCGAGCACCATCGATAATAATATTAACAAATACTGAGTGTTGCTATCTGTCCAAAAAATGGAACCAGGCAGAGATTTGTCTTCTTTACCTCTTTTTAATTCGTTATTATATATATACTCTCTATATATTTTAATTGTTCCTTATACTGGAACTATCTAAACTGACCATTTGTAACCATAATTGTAGTCCCAGATAAAAATTTCCAGTCTAATTTCACTACTTTGAAATTTTAAATAGATGAAATTTGAACAATGCATATCAGTGGTCTTGTGTCTTCCTCAAAATTTACTCTTAAATATGTTCTTTATACCTATGCCCATCATCCTACTATCATACATGGTCTCTACATGGTCCCATTGCGCTCAAATAAAAAAGGATACCTTATTATAAAACACACACACACATTGACAAATCATGTTTCTTTTAGAACAACAGAGATACAAGCAACAGGCAGTCGTGTCAGACAAGCAGCTGACGGATGTACTGAATATCTGATCACAGAAAAGTGTGTTCATGTCCACTCCTGTATGGCTCAGACATGTCATCACCATCACATCTGCATCAGGGAGAACACGTATGTCCCAGAAAATTCAGATGTGCAGTTTGCAAGTAAAGTCAAGGTAAAAACAACATCACAATAAACTTGCCTTCGTGTTTTGTTTTCTGTTTGAACACATAACTCTGTGTCCTGGAAAAATCATTTTCAAATTCAGTTTTGCTGCTTTAAAGCGAACATGACGGTTGTCTTCACGTTGCTTTAGGTTTTCTTGTTAGTCAGGGATCCAATAGATTCAATTTAGTCTTCTCTCTCATCATTGTACCAAATACAACCCAAACATACAGTATTACTTTGTTCATAATAGTAAAACACTGACCCACAGTAAAACATCACATTTAGTAATGGCTATACATTCAAAGATTTTTCAAGGACACTGATCTTCTGTGGGGGGGTTTTCTATGCTAGCACCATACTTACTGCATGTACACAAATTCAGAGAGAAAGAGAACTGGTCTTGGTATTGTTGAAATGTTCACAAGGCACTTGTCTAAATCATTTTAGTCCTTTGTCTTGGTCAGGAGACAAAACCAGGCCTTTCTGTAGTCAGCTCTCTGTAGCTACAGTCAGTGGCTCTGAAGCGTGCCCCTCCAAAAACATGGGAGATGAGAAGTTGTTCTACTCTACTCCTGCTCCTCTTCTTTGTCCTATATTCTTTAAAAAAGGTTTTTGTTAAACTCCCAGTTTTCTCCAGTTATTCATTTCTCTGGGAAAATTTGGCCACTTGTTTTTCTTTTCAGACTCACATCCATTGGTTCGTCTGCCTCCTGAGCAGCCATATTTATCCAAAGCTAAGTAACCTGTCCATTTGAATGTCTGGTTCTGAGGTTTTTCCCAAGCCCCAGCACAAAAATCTTGTCTTTCTGTTGGCCTGTTTGACCCTGAAGGTCCACTTCTCCGTCCTTCAGCACCCCCACCCCCACCACACCTCACCCCCGTGTCTACCGATGTCTCGAGGACACGTCGAAGCAGGTGACCATCATGAGATGCGCTTTGCAGAAGTTGACTCTCGTCTCCAGTTTGTCCGTCACTGTCTCCAGAGCTTCCAAATACTCCAGTGAGTCCACCTCGTAGGCCTGCTGTAGCTCAACTGGATATGGACAGATGAGTGGGAAAACATTTCTATTTTTATAAATATACTCTTATTTTGAATCAAACCCACGTTCTCTGTCCTGCTGAGTAAATATTCAATAGAGCACCAAATGTTTATCAGTGCACAACAGAAAATGTATTATTTATTCCATTTGCTAAAAACTACAGTTGCCAGCAATTTTAGGAAATTACTTTAACAATGAAACTATAGATTTATGACACATTTTGAGACATTACTAACTTGGGGAGGAAGTACCCTACACATAGAGTATTGAGACAGATTAATGCATGAATTGGATTGGCTGACATTACTAAAAATAGAGCCTAGCGGTCACTACTAGATAAGGCGGGAGGCCTTATCTAGTAGTGACCGCTGGTTCATCTGGTGATCAGATGCGACTGCCATCACAGTCAGAGTAAATATCACAAACAGACCAACATCAATTGGCAAAGAAATTAGAGATAAATATGCATGAATGCTTCTAACATGTTTTTCTTTGTCTTTCGTTCCCTGATGTGTCAGAGTTACACTTACACTCTGTGGTCCATTTGTGTGGCTCCAGCATCAGGTACTGTTTGGTTTGTTCCAGTTCTTTCTTCAGACACTGGTACTTGGCTCTGACTTCACTGATTCGCTGCTGGCGGTGCTCCAGCAGACGGAGCTTGGCACTGACATACACCACCTCCTGACACAGAGAGAGGAGCAACAGATATAAATTTTATTCACCTTTATTAATTCAGAGGAGTGTGCTGTGAAACACGTGGCTCCATTTCAGCCAGATCCTGCTTAACATTCACACCTCATTGACTTTCACTGTGACCGCAGTCGAGTACTTTCGGACACTGGGCAGCTTCAGTGGAGTAGTCAAGGGTTAAGTGGTTTTCTTAAGACCGCTGCAGGGAAGATCTATATTTCATGCTTTTCTCTCCCTCCCTCATTCTCAAAGCTCACAGTGCTCCCTCCTCTGAATATACTGTATAAAAGAGTATGATTCCAAAAACCTGCACGTTGCATTCATTTGCAACAATTTCATGAGTTTTACAGTCCCACTCTATTCTGACTTCTGCAAAAAGAATTTAAACAACTACACTTCAGAAGTAATACAGACGGAATAGGATGTAGATTTATAAAAATGCTCAGTATTCATGCAGAACATAGTGCTAATGTTGGTTCATTCATTTTGTGAAAATCCTTGCTGTTGTGTTTTTAACACTTTCCTCACTGACACACACAGCAGCTCAGATCCTTTATCTTACTGTGTCTCTTTCTGACTTCGGTTTCTTCCTCCTGTTCTTCTCTTGCAGCACCACCCAACATAACACTTGATTTTTAATGTTTCACAACTATTATCCTCAAATACATTTCATTGACATCAAGTGCCTTCTGGCCTCTTGGCCTCCTTTTTTCTCCACCTCCTGTAATTCTCCTCACACATCCACACTCTTCATTTGCCCTTCATCCTATCACCAAAGCGAATAATCTCCTCACTCCTCACACAGTCTTCTTTCCTTCACCTTATCCTGCAAGTCACTCTCTTCCATGCTGTTATTCCATGCTTTATTTTCTGTTAGACCTGTTACCTAGCCTTTACCTTGTCCTTTTCCATCATTTTAAGCCTACATGAATTAGTTCATTTTACCAGGGGAGATGGTCTAATTCTAGTCCTGTCTGTACAAATCATATAGAATATGGCTGCAAACATTCTATCTGTACAACCTCTGTTAAACTCGACCCAGCTTAATACTTTCACATTTATCCTGCAGTTTCTCGGATAAACAATACTCTTTCAAGGCCTTTCTCAGACTTCTCTCTGGTTCAGTTCCAACTTGTTGTTATAACATGTCAGTAAAAATTCTGAATGCTACATTTTAGTGTGAAAACCAAAATGTGCACTTTATTATCGCCAGTCATTCTGAAATTTAGACGGTGATTGTTTCCGATACAGCTTGGCCAGTAACATTATGTGTCCTATTATCAACCCGCCGCTTGCCCTCCTTACTCCCTCTCACCTTGTTCCCTCCTTTGTCTCTCCTCTTCTGTAGCCGCTCAACATCATCTATCTCATAAACCTTGATCTCAAAGGTTTCTGTTGTTGCAGTCGTGCCCCGGAGGTTTGAAGGAGCTGGGGGCCCCAGTGGGCCATCTACCCAGCATGCACCTGGGCTAGAGGAGGAGGAAGAAGAGGAGGTGATGGCCTGTTTGGAGGAGCGGTGAGAAGGTGAGGAGGAGGATGAATCCAAGGTCAGTGCTGGGATCAGACGACGACGCTGGAGGCCTGAAAGATCAAATACAACAAAGATAATAAATTGAAAGTGTTACACACTACAGGAGCTTATAACAAAATGTCTCCTGACATAGGGACACATTTTGATGCTAGGGACTGTAACATTTTTATTTATTTGAGTAGTATGAATTAGTCCCATTGTTAAATACCTATTCTAACAGAGCTTTATGTTACACAGTACACTTTGAAGAAAAATTAACTGAAAGGGGTATATCTTCAATCTTTTAGAAACACCTTCTACTAGCAATACGCCATAGTGAGTTGTAGCAAGTTTAATCACAAATATCTACAGTACCCCATGTAAATCTGTTTTAGCATGGCCCAGCATGATACTAGTGTTTAATGGCAACTAATAAACAAACTACATTACTAGCTCAGCTAAGAAGATATTCTACCCAAATAATCGGCAGAATAAAGTTTCTTTGTTACAAAATACTTTATATTCTGAGGTATTATTCTCCTCCTATGCCACCGCAGGAACAGCTTGGGATTTATTTTCTGTCCTGCCAAGACCTAGATGAGGAAACTCATACTGCTCTTATGTTTGTCCATTCCATGCAAGGCTACAAAAGCTAAGCTAACTGGCCAACAGCTTAACAAAGGCATGCTGGATGCTTGGCAAACTCCCAGCAACAGCAACGTTCCACAGAGGTACTGCCAAGAAAGTCTGGAACATAACTGCCCATAAAACACCAAACTGACATTTTTACATTTCAGTCTTTGTTTAAATTAAACAAAGCTTCAGACAGATATAAGAGTGGTAGTCATCTAATTATTCAGTTAGAGCCAAACATGTCTGCAGCTGTACCTATGTTGATTTAGCCATCCATAGAGCAGATATAGTACAACTTGAGAGTCCTAGTATTCAACAGGAAACCCCTAAGTGTTCACTCTTTACAGTTTGCTTTGGATCAGAGTAAGAATCCTACAGGGGAAAGAAGACAAGGATATAAAAGTAGCAGTTCTGTAGTCTGAGGAAAGACGGAGATCTTGGGTGGGGGAGAGGAAATTCACTGGAGAGAGGCAGAAAGGAAAAGACAAACAAGTGACAACGTAGAAAAAGAACGAGAAACAGTTGACTGAGTGTGAAACCAGATGAAAACGTTCAGTGTCTTTTCATATTGTAGATATGAGCAGCAGGTCACTCTTTAATCTGTCCACTATGCATGAATGAACACACGCACATATGTGCACACAAGCTTTGCATAGAAATTGCCAGCCATGTTGACAGGAACGTGAGTTATCAAATTCACCAGGAATTGAAAGCTAAGGTGTGCGTGTGTGTGTGTGTGTGTGTGAGAGAGAGAGAAAGAGAGAGAGAGAAGTGGTGACTTTAATAAGGCTGCAGCTCTCTTTGGTCTCAATGTGGTACAGAAAGGTCAAGCAGAGACATTTGTATTTCATTACACACTGTAGTAGGAAGCAGCATATAAGTGGACTGAGAAAGACTGAGGGTCTGCAGGGAGGAGAAAGTGTAAGGGTTGTAAGAGAGTAACGTGTAATGGAGATGATGTGTTCTAAATGAAAAAAGATCAGAGGGACAGACATGGAAGAAAAACTGAGTGAGAGCTAGTGAATCCAATCAGATGGAAATCAAGCACAAAGAGAGTCTCGGTTGAGATGTGATTAATATTTCAGTCACATTAACATCTTCACACATGGTTTCAGTATGTAGCACTCTTGTCCTCTTACTATTATTGTCTGTCTGCCTGGATTTGGGGCTGAGTTGTCTGTCTTGAACATAGCGTGTGTTACCCTTTCTGCCTTTCTCTCCACTTGTGACAGTTTGACAGTGAATGGGCTCCTTCTTCCACAGAATCAATAAATGTATGTGAATCCAGATGCTATGCTACACAACAGGAGCTGAGGCTGCATCCTGGACATATGGATGGAAAGAGTTATTCCGATTTAAATCGACAGAGACACAAAAGGATGTGCTGCCTCTGTCCAGTCTGGTTCTACGTACATATCCATTCAGTGGAGTGTAATTTGGCGGGCACATTAACAGGGTCTCTGTGTGGTGTTCTGGTGCATATATATTCATTACAGCCCACGCCAGCAGATTCCTTTAACCATTTCACAGATGGGTGGTCAGGGTCACCTTTCCTACCTGGGCCCTTCTGCAGCCACAGCGTTCTTCACCTTTTCGTTTCTTGTTGTGCTTTTTCACCAGTGGCTCTCCCTATGTGTCTGTTGTTCTGTCTTTCTTAGCTTTACATTTAAAGCCTTAGCAGTGTTATGATCACATTTTGCCATGCTTCTAGAACTAGCCATGAGTGCATGCACCACTTGTATTTATACCGATTTGTGCTCTTGTTGCCACAGTGTGTTTGTAGTTTACTGACTTTTACTCAAATATATGTTACTGTGGATCATATTTTTTGCTTGTTACATCTAGATTTGAGGACACTGTAGCTTTACTGATCGAGGCAAATGACAAGTTAAAAGCAATAACAAATAGTTGTACACTGATGCACTGAAAGGCAGTATTCAGAAAATGGGTGTATATCTGTGACCTGTGGTGCTCCTGCTCTTCTTGCTGCTCTTAGAGCTGCGTCTTGAGGAGGTGGTGGCCGAGCTGTGCTCACTAAGGGAGTCCTGAGCGGAGGAGGTACTTCCTGTGTTCTCACTGCTGTCTCTCAACATGCTCTCATAGCCACTGCTGCCTCCGCTGTGGTAAAACAAGGCTGTCTTCCCCATGGCCGGGGGGAGCTCGCCACTCAGTACGCTGCTGTCGGGGGCAAAAAGAGATCACATCAAAATTATTGTTAGCACCACCACAGCTCTTTTGTGACCATTTAAAATGTAACACTCACTAAACTTGAGCTCATACAGTACCTGTTGTCGCTGGCATGACCGCTGCTGCAGCGGTGTGGTTTTCTGGGAGCGGTGATCTTGCTGTAGGGAGAGGGCAGTGTTTGGACAGCGGTGGCCTTCTCTTCTGTCGGACTTCCTCCTCCACCACCGCCTGCTGCAGCTCCCCAGCTACTGAGAACAGGGTTAAATCAAAAGAGAGGTTACACCAAAATATTTTTGAAACTTGTAATGGCATTTTGCCTTTTTAGGTAATGGAATATAGCAAAGATAAGATAAGATACTTTTATTGTCATTTTATTAAAAATACAATGACACTGCGAGTGCCCTATCTAAAAGATAGACATTAAAAGAACTTTATAACACACACATCCTTAAATAAAAAATAACAAACCCACACATGCACACAGTCAACCACCTTCCACGTGCCAACATTCATCAGAAACATCATAAAACATCAGAGTCCCTGCTGCAGATTTTGCAGCTTGTACCTTAAACCATCAGGACTCCCAAAACCTTTAGGAATTGATTTGACAGTTGATATGAATGGTGTGTACTACACAGAAACTGTTACTTACTCATTACGCTGACTGTCATCAGATGAATTCAGTTTATATGAGGTACTCTCTGAATTTTGCAGTCATTTTCTTTGTATAAGATGTCCTAGTAAATGTTTGTAAAATAAAATCAAGTAAAACTCACTGACGTAAAACTCACTGACCTTGCCCCTCCAATGCCTCTTTCCTCCCCAGAATCTGTGCCTCCACCCTGGGATTGACTCCTGGACCGGGATCCTGTACTTCCCTGGAGGAGCTCTGAGATTCGACCGTTGACAGCCCGGAGAGGCAGCTTGGCCGCCAGGCTCCCTCCTCGACTGCGGCTCAGAGACTGGGTAGACCAGTGTCCAGGGGAACACTGCTGCTGCAGAGGGCCCTGGACTGAGTTCTGGGGCTGGGAACACAGATAAACGCAGTGGATGACCTGTATAGTTTTCATAAATGTGTTCTGTGTCTTGTCTTTTGTATAACTGAAAGTGTACAAAGAGGAAAGCCTGGTACTGGTTGGTAAAACTGATCGCACATAGGTTTGTTTGAGTAGCCAAGTCATGTAGTTTACATGTGTTAATGTGGGTGAAAGCCTGTTAAGTTACAGTGAAGAAGTGCTACCTTTCCATTAGGAGGAAGGCTGGAGCTGCGGCTGGTAGCTTGGCTTAAAGACTTGGTAGAGAAGCTCAGTGTCTTGGTGCTGGATGCAGACAGGCTCCTGGTCTTGGGACTGCTGGTCATCAGCAGCTTACTGACTGCTGAGATCTTTGACTGGCCACTGGTTTTGGCTGGTGACTGTGGAGCACTGCTTGGACCGGGACTGGTACTGAAACTGGGGCTGGTGGTGTTTCCAGTAGAAGAAGATACCGATCCAGCGCGGGTGAGACTGCGTCCAGTACGTGGCATGGTGCTGTCCCCCCTCACTTCTCCTCCTACCCCTCTCAGGCTCTCGCCTCTCTCCAGAGAGAAGCATTCGTAGTGGTGGGAACCACTGTGGGAGCTGGGGACCCGACCCAGAGAGTTGGTTCTGTTGGCAAGCTGTTCCAACTTGGCGCTGAAAAGCCTACTGCTGTCTATGCTGGCACCTCGTTGTCTGGGGCTATATCCAGATATCCCTGCATCATCCACTAAGCTGCCCAGTAATGAGACTCCATGGCTGGGTTGGTGGAGGGGACTGGCTGCCCTGTTGCGCTGGTCCAGACTGGACTTTCGTACCGGTGGCAGAGGTGGGATTCCCCCTTTCTTGTGGGAGAAAAAACCCTGTTTTCCAGTTGATCCCCGACGGTCAAGTGTAGTGCGGGGACTACAGGGAGTTGAAGTGGTGACACCAAGATTACAGTAATCGATTACATTATCTAAGCCGTCATGGCGGTTGAGACGGTGCCATCCACGGGGAAGACTGGCAGTACGGTGGATATCTGCGCTGTAGATACTAGTCAGACACTCTCCCTGGGCACCAACAGCGACCATCTCACAACCATCCACCACTCTCTTAAAGAAATCTGGAGATGACGCAACCTCACCACCTGAATTAGAGCTGCCGTGATCCCTTCCTGATAAGCAATGAAAGAAAGAACAACTATTTAATTTAAGATGCCTAGAAATCTTTAATTTTTACAGCACTTAACTCTTTCTTACCATCCCTGTAGGTGCTCCGGTGGTCGCCATTCCCAGTTTGAGCCTTCTCCCCTGAGTGGTTCTTTAACTGCTCTGGCTCCCTGTTCTCTGGCTTCGCTTCACACACAAGCTCTGTGGACCCCCCACCCTCCGCGCCACGCTTCAGCCAGGGGTCTTCAAAGCTCATCTCACTAGAAATAGACGCCAAAAGTGGTGCATTAAATTTGCCTGTGTCTTTGATTAAGCTATTCTTTGTAGGTGAGGAGAGGATGGTTGGTTCCTGTATCATCATGGGTTTGACAGCCACACATGGGTGAACACTGATGGTGCTCTTTAAAGGAGAGAGGTTCCCAGGTCCTGCCAGAATCTGAATGTTAGTTTTAGCCATGGAGGGAGGCAGTTTCCTCAGCCTGTCTTTGGTGGGAGTTCCCTTTTCACTCCCATTTTCTTCCAAACTCCCTCTTCTCTGGATCCCACAGCTTTCATAACTGCACAGCCCCTCAACTCCAAAGCTTTGGTTGGGTTCTGGTTCAGCCAGGGCCTCCCCTTGCTGGCTCTGGGACTGACTGAAGCTGTGGAGAGACTGATCGGCTTCACTGCTCATGCTCAGATCACTCATCCAGGAAGAGGCAGGTGAACCACAGTTAGACATCACCGTGGCTAAGGCTTCACCTTCCATCCACAGTTTAGACATTGCCACCTGTAACAAGGAGCAATGCAATCAGATATAATATCTTGCACTCCAAAAGACAGTATTAGAAGGTTTATCATTATCACATTTGGATTCTGGTTTATATCATATCACACCTGCCTTATTTTTTAGTAGGGCTGCTTTAGGACACAGACCCACATATCAAACAATCTGAAGTTACTGTAAATGCAAACCAAGTCAGACATACAAACCTCTGCCATAGCAACAACCTCTGTGATCCCTGCGGTTGTTGCCAGACCTGCAGGCATGGAATAATCTTCTGCAGCTCCTTCCTCAGCAGTACGACTGCCTGAGCCTGAAGCAAGAGCAGCGGCAGAGTCACAGTCACTGTTGAAGCTGATGATGCTTGTCGGACGGCAGGTAAGGCTCTGAGTCTCCATGAGACCTGCGATATTAAGGTCCTCCTCACCTCCAGACATCATAGTGTACACTAGTTTATCCTCCCCAACTGTTCCCAGAGATACAGATACTGCTTGTCCTGAGACTGCAAGTGGAGGAGAGAAAGAAGAGAGTTACTGCATTTAATAATTTCTTTGTCGTGTTTGATGCTTATGTAGATATGTTGCACATATTTGCCACCATAATTCTAAAGGTTTGAATGTGACTCATTATTTATTTTTGCTCTTACTCCCCCTTTCCTTCTGTAAAAATAGCTGTGTTTTCCTGCAACTCACCATCCTTGTGCGTGTCCATGGGTATCGGTGGGACGTCATCATCACAGAGTGTCTCAGCCGAGCCCAGGCTGGCAGACAGAGAGGGAGTTGGCTCTCGGACTTGTGGGCTCAAGCCCACAGGAGAAGTTCTGGACAGCGGGGACTCTGTGGAGGAACGGCCACTGTCTGCAGCCAAACTGTCTGCAGAATCAGAAACACACATTTGGTATCGTAATGAATTTTGCTGTCCAAGTGCACCCACTGGTGCACTGGTAATTTAGAAAATTGGCATCGCACTATGATGCTAATTTCAATCTGCTTGTTATTATGCAATTAAACTGTCTTGTCCTCATATTTATATGCCTTAAGACAGTTGCATAGACTCTATTATTGCCTTACGAAGGTGTTGTATAAAACAGCAATAACAACACCTGCAGGGTGATGAACAGTTGAAGAATGGGGCTATATGTGGTGGGACGCCCATTGACAGACCGGTCATGCATTATTAAGACACTGGCAGTATCACTAGTTCTTTACAGCATGTGTTACAACAGGGAAGCTAATGGCAGCATATGAACAATGAAATCTATTAATTAAGTAGGAATATTCTATATTCATTTTGCAATCTCTGGCAATGCAAATAGCATTTTCTTCTTAAATGTTGCCAGAGACTAAAAGCAAAAATGTTTATTACTCACATTCTAGTAGATGTTTGTTCTTGGTCTTTGTCCTCTATCTCATTAAATGGAGGGAACAGATCTATATACAGCAGTGTGTGTGTGTGTGTGTGTGTGTGTGAGTGTGTTCTTACAAGTCAACACAGAACTGCTGCATTATAATTTAAACAACTGTCTCTGTGTTTAACTTTCAAAGGAAAATTAGATGCACTCTAAAAGATAACCAAGATGTATTTTACAGTGTGTGGCTCTTTAAATCTCTATTTAATAAAACACACAAGAATCACATAAACCGTGAGTTACATATGTACTGGATATAGTCACTGTACTAAAAGCACTAATTAGGCCTTTAAACCAGGTTTTCAAATCAGACTATTCAAAAACTGAAACAAGCTTAAGAAAGGAAACAAACAAAAAAAAAAGCTTCAAAATAATTGATTTTAAAAAATGCTATTGCTAGTTATTAAAAGTTTCATTATAAACATAATTATAAAGCACAAACATGTAGAAAGAAACATACTGTCTGAGGTCAAAGTGTCAGTGGCCTGGCCGTCCTGAGCCAGAGTGTGTGAGGGCAGAGGGGGTGCTGCCGGCATCACACCCTTCTGGGTGTACACTTTACACCGCTGAGATGGGGAGGACGGAGGTCTGCGGACAAGGATCAACATTATGGCACTGGTCACTGCTTATGGTTTAACAGCAAGAATGAGATTACCTTTGTCTTCACATTTTAAGTTTGTCTTTAGGCATTCTGCAATTTTTCTTATTATCATAACTGAATTAAATGCCCACAGTCAAGCTTATTGCTTGCTGTTTGTATGCATATGTCCCTTACCTGTAGTCTGAGGTTCTGGCGAGGCTGGCGATGCCAAGACGTGGTGATCCTAGTGGGCGTCCCTTCCCCTCAGTGTTACTGCCCATATTCAAACTCTCATGACTGCTCAGTGAATCACAGAGGAGACATTGTGTAAACTGAGATCAAATACATTCTAAATCTAATAGCAACATCAACAAGAGGAAAGGGCTATGCCAAAATAAAATTCAGTTCTTTTTTCTTTTAGGCATGCAGTACCACCTGTCCTCACCTGTCATGCAGATGGAAGCTCTTGGCCCTGTGCAGGGGGTTGGAACTGATACTGCTGCTTCCTGTGACGCTCCTGCTACTAGTAACTATGGGGGATCCAGAGTTCTGAGCCAGGCTGTGGATCATCGTCTGGGCCAGCTCCGCCTCCTCCACCACCTCCTTAATCTCCTGCAACTGTTGGTCATTTGTCCTCCTCCTAGACTCTGCTGCTGCTGAGGAGTAGGAGAACTGCACGGCACCTCCTACTGCACATGCTGAGCCTGGGGATGTTGGACGGAACAACGTTTTTTTATTTAGAATCCAAAGGTGAAATGCAAAAAGTAATAAAATTGAACAAGACATGTTTAGCAAACAGTGGCATTAAACATGTTGGTGTGATGCTAAATTACATGTACAGAAACTACTGTACATTAGTCACATTGGCCTATGGAAGCCTGTAGAGCCAGTTTGTGTTCACACTCAAGACACTGTGATACAGTTATTATACAGTATATCTACTCAGTGAGTTAAAGCTTTTACCTATTTTGGTTTCTGTATCCAACACAGCAACAGGAGCTGAGGTCGGGGCAGCTGAAGATGGACATGGCACTGGTTTGGTACCTTGTTTACACACTGGAATCTCTTCAAAGGGGAACTTTGCCACCTGAAAGTGTAGAAAGAGTGATGAAGTTTCATATGAAGTTTTGGCTCTTCATATGAGAATATCTGAGAAAGTTTGATCCAGTTCTTGGCACTGAAAATGCTCTCCACTTATGTCCCCTTAAATTCAGGATAATACAGCACTGATATCCTAGACAACTTCAGTACTGGTGGAATAGAATAAACAAATCACTATATCTGATACTGTAACAACATAAAAACCTGCTTTGGTGACATATAAAGTCCATTACAAATATTTTAACTGTGATAAAGTAATAGCTGCTCAACTGCATTGTTTTATAATACAACTGAAAGCCGATACTTCTCGAAAGAGACTGAAAATTGTAGATACAAGATGTGACATTTTAAGCACCTACAGACAAAGCCAACTCTTATCACCTCCTCACTGCCATCAATACAGTCCAGTCTCTCCTGCAGCTCAGCAAAGGTGTTGCACTTCAGGCACTCAGCTCCCTCCTCTGGGACCGGAGCCAGCGGCTGCCCAAGCAATGACTGAGAGGGCTGGGGCAGGGGCTGAGCAGGGCCACTGGGCTGGTCCTCTGGCTGAGACTGCACCTGTTCAAGCAGAAATCACAGACACGTAAGCCTTCCAATTCTTCTTCACAGCAATTATTCTGACTACATCTGACTGTCTAAATATAAATAAATTGAAAGTACCTTGTTTTGAGCGCCAGCTGTCTGGTTTTTTGATTGATGCTGCTCTGATGTTTTTCCAAGAAGCAATGCGGGAATAATCGGCACAAATTCTGGTGGTCCCTCATTGTCCGTCAGCTCTCTATCTGACACTGCAGCCCCATTTGGGCCCACATAGATCACTGTGTCACAAGACTGCTCACTGCTCGAATATTCGTCAGGGTCACTGGAGAGGCGCAGCAACGGAAGGTCAGAGTCAGCGTCACCACGGTGATGGAAAGGCCGCAGATTGGTCGGACGACGCATGCGGCCCTCCTCGCAGGAGCTCTCTCCTCCGGAGGAGCTGGAGGTGTATTGCTGAGGAGAGATCAGATGTCAGTGAAACTGGAGGCAAAGGTGGTGAGAGAGAGAATACCTTTAATTGACAGTTCACACCGGAGAGAGATGGAAAAGAGAGACAAAAGAGAAAAGTAACAACATTCCAGGCATAGAGATCTTGTACCTAAGTAAAACACCAGATTTAAGATGAGAACTTTTATATAATGTAATTCAAATTAATTAAATTATTCTGATTTCTGTAACAGATGGACACTTTAAGATATCTCAGACATCACTAGTTGAAACTTTATTTTTAGAGCTGTGATGCCCTCACATAACCTCATACTTCTGCTGAAAAGTTTTGAAATAAATGAGCATGAGAAGTGAAAAGTGAGAGAGGGTGTCAGGAGCACTACAGGTACATGTGGTTTTGATGGAAAAAGGGAAGGCGGTGATGAGATGCATGATGATCTTAAATTAGCAAAGAAACAAATGCATCATTTAAAGTCATTTCGACTTGTCAAGCAGCATGTGTACTGCATGTTTCATTCACAGACCACCTGCTACTGTAGCTGTATGGAATAGTATTTATTTATTTTGATTAACTTGTAGATGTATGACATCCTCCATCCTATATGACCTATATGGTCATTTGTTCCTTCCCTTCAATACAATCCATAGAGCATCTCCTGAAACAGCGCTCCTATGTTATCATGCAGAATTGCAAGAACTCCACCAACATTAACGACAATGCACAAAATTTCCAGACTTTTGTTATCATGGAAACAGCCATAACAATCAGCATATAGTTTTTATTTTTTTTTTACAGGAGAACAGTCTCTGATTAACAGCTGATCAAGCGAGTAGACAGCTGTGTTCATATTTCTAATCTACATTACCAGTACCAGTAGTTCTCTTTATCTTGAATGTGAGTAAAGTTTTAGTTTTATGAGATTAAGAGAAATGATCTCCCAATTGAAACAAAGCATCAAGGTTGGATTAAAACTCACCACAGTGACTTTAGTTTTCTTCTTCTTCATGCGCAGGACACGAGAAGCAATCTGGATTGTGGAAAGGGTTTCTGAGAAGTCTCTGGGTGAGGCAGAGATGTGAGCAATCATGGTGGTCCGGCAGTTCATGTTGCCTAGCGACTCCCTTAGCAACATGGTCAGCTTGCTGTCCCTGGTAACACACACACACACACACTCACACTGAGATGTGACACACTGGAGACGCATGCATGTGACAAATCTGGTCGATTTTCTAACAAGTCTGACATTTGATTATTAATAGCTTGACTCAAAACAGGAAAGACGGTATGCTGATAATCAATGTAGTAATAATTACACAACGCTCTGCTAACACGTCCATATAAATGACGCTAGAAGAGTCAAAAGGCAAAGTTAATGGTAATTTTTTATATTTATTAATGCTGCTAAAACACAGGAATGGTTGCTGTTCCAGACTAAAGCTTATAAAGTGTTAAAAGAAGCAGTCGGGACATGTTTAGTCTAATAATGGGAGATGATCTAACTCCCAGAGAGATTATACCAGCAGATAGGCGAGTAAAACCAGGCTGTGTGTTTAGGAAAAGACTTTTTCCTGGGTGGGCCACTGAAATCATTCAGTGTGAGTGTGCTGAGGCCTGGAGGCTGACAGTGAGCACAGCTCTCCTGTGGCCCAATACCTCATGCTATGCTGTCCCCTTTCTCTAAAAGCACAGCCTGCAGATATGTCTCACTCATGTATGTGTACATTCACACATACACACTCCTATCTTGACCTCCTCTTTCTCATCGAAGCTCCTCTCTTCTCTTTTCTTCTTCCTCAGTTTGCTGCCTCAGGCTTAACAAACACTCCTCTGCCTCCCTCTGTCTCTAACTCTCCATTTCTCTGCCTGAGAAATACTCATGAAGTATTTATTTGCATGTTAATTCAAGTGCAGAGGATGTTGAAAAAGATCTTACTCTTCGGCCTATGCTTGATTTAATACCAGGGTTATATAATTGTGTGTAACATGATGCTCTCTGTGATTAAAACAAAGTTGATAATGAATGCAGCATCTAAGTTCCTTACATCACTAATATTAAGAATTGAAGTGGTGAAGCTGGAGTATAGAAAGGTGTCCCTGAAGTGCACTGTATGAGAGAGAGACATCATTAGAAGCATTTAGGGAGCTTTAAAAGGAGGCTCGAACAGGATAAAGATACAGCAAACCAGTGTTCTGATTTTGGAGTTCCTGATGAGAAAGGTTGATGTTTGGCACTTTTAAATCTACAATGTGGGTATTCCAGGACTGCGCGAGATGATGCTGAGATGTGTGGATTCTTGAAAGAGCTAAAGTGTTGATTTAGTGATGATAGCAAACTGCCTGCCTCTTTTCTTGACCTGGGAACACAAATCAACTTGCATAAAATCACTGATTACCTAGCAACAGTACTGAGATTATGAGAACACGATGGGACCCTATTCCAAAAATAGTGAAGTGCCATGAGACGGGCTCAGCATCTAACTGCAATAAATGAATGGAGCAGAGTTGAACTGAAGCTGTTTTCAGACACAGCTTGGTTTTGTTTGGTTTGGTTTTGTCATTGCATCCCGCGTTGTATGTCACTGGAACGACTGTTTATAATCCTCTGTTGTGGTGTTTGTTTGCTTTCTAGGGATGGCAACGATCATTTGGTCCATCACACATAAAAGCATCTTCAAACAGGATGAAGTGCCATAAAATTCTGTTCAGGACATTCATGGTGCCCAGAGGATGTGTCCTCGTGACTTCTGACTTTTTAGCACAAAACAGCTGAAATACCTTACAGCAATATCTACGAGGTGGATTGATACAAACTTTGGTATAAATATTTATTCCCCCCATAAGATGAATTGTTGTAACTTTAGTGATGCTTTAAAGAGCCATTCGTATCATATTTGATACGCTCGTTTCTGCGCAGATAGAAATCGCCAAAAATGCCCCATGTTTCAAATGTGATACCAAACAAAATAAAAATATTCTAAATAATATGACACATTTATTCCTATATGCCTGGACAGTCTGTCTATGCATAAATGGCAAATAAAAATCTTGAATCTTGAATTTTCTTTTGGATTTTGTTAAAAGGTTTAATAAACATCTCATGTCCGAAAAATTGGACTGTTCTGGCTAGTTTTTGATGTGTTGGGCTTTTTAACATTACCTCTGGCACTATCATCAGGTCAGTATTTTTACTTGTTCAGTACATTTTACACTTTTTAACCAAATACTTGCAAAACTACTGATTTTACCATCAGCTTCAGCTGTACACTCTGGTTAACAACCGTTATCTGCTAATTATCAACAATGTTAACATTGTCATTGTGTGCATGTTAGCGTGCCGATGTTAGCATTCATCTCTTAGCCTTGTTTCTCTGTCTTTGTCTTCAAATCATTATATGACAACACTGATCCATCGTTTTCGTATCAATCCTGGGGAAAAGATAATGGAGCTAAAGGCCACCTGCTGCTCAAAAACACCAAGCTACACCAGCTATAAGCTGGTCTTAAATATACAGCTGACTATACTATACTCCACCAGTTTTCAACAGTCTGCAATGGCATACCACTCATACTGTTTTAGCTGTGGTTCTGCGGTGACCATTATGTTCAGTTTTGGATCTATACTGAAGAGGCAGTGACACAACATCCATCCTGAACCAAATCCCCTCAGTCTGACAATGGTCTGAGTCACCAACCCAGGCTCAGCACAGCTTTGCTTACAGCTTCACTGTTGGGTAGCAGGTTGTTTTGTAATTTAAATGCAAATGGTGGTGATTAAATTAGCCCAGCAAGGAGCACAGAGCTACACACCCTGAAGGAGAGTGGAAGAGGAAGCAGGGAAGAAATGGAGGGAACAGTAAAATGAGGGCGTTTACAGTTTGCGCTGTGTACAGTACACTGCCAGGGCATACTAAACATTATAACAACAGTAGGTAATATTTACCTCTGTTTAGAGTCCGTCTGTATTATCACTCCCTCTCTACTTTCTCTCGCCTTTGCTCTCATTGCCGGGCAGTTAACCAGCAAAATGAATGTGATGAATATGTAACAGCAGCTGTTGTTTATAACATTACATCCCCCAAACCTGAAGCAACTTAATAAATGTGTCATCTGCTTTCCTTTCCTCTTCTTCAGCTCCAAAACATCCTGCTCTCTTCTTCAGTCTACCCTTCACTCCTCCTGGGCCTCTACTATTGTCCTCTTTGGTTGTTTGCTTGCATTTCATTCTTTTAACATATTCAAAGCATCTAAGTGCATTTGCTGTGTCCTGTCTTCTCACACTCACATACACCTACTTGTATGGGATGTGTTTGCTCCCGTTGACCAGGGCCAGGATCACATTGCCGAGGGCAGACAGAGAAAGGCACAGGGGAGCTGAGCTGGGTGAGGAGTTCTCCCTGTTTTTCCCACTTGCTCCTCCTCCTCCAAGTACTTTGACATCACAGCTTCCCAGGTCCAGTAGGTGGAGGCGACTGCGACCTCCTGACACTAGCAAAGTGAAAAAATGGGCCAAGACCAGAGTATAGGGTATAAAAGACAGGGACAAACTAAAGTCAAGCAAGCATTCAAATAAAAAAATTCAGCCTTCGGTCTTGGACCTCTGTAGTGATCATTGTGCAAGTTTAATTTGCCAAACCAATTCTATTTAAAAGGTTCTACAGAGGAAAAAAGGTACCCTTTAATTTGAATGATCAAAAGAAACTGATTGCAGCAGCATGTACTGTATGTAGATTTGCTTGTAAAAGTAAAAATACTTAAATATGTATTTGGAAATAAAACCCACCAAGGACAAATAATATTTATGTATTTACAATTCTACAATATAATATCAATTAACAAAGAGTGTCTGCAGTGGTATGTTTGCATAGACTAGGTAGTACTATGGATAAAACATAACCAAATATTGAAAGCCCTCAGTACTGACATTTGTATAATATATTGGAAAAGTCGTAATAATGTGTGCCAGCATCAACAAAGACTGTAGCTGGAGTTTTATTAATGAATTCTGTAGTGACACACTGGGAATCCTCATTTTCTAAAAGTTAAGGCTGTTAAAATTTTTAATTACAGCTTGTGAGTTGGCCATAGCTGATGGCAGGTTGTAAAAAAAGTGCATGTTCTTCCCTTATTTATGTCATCTTTTATGTCTGCTCAACTCATAGACACAAACACACACACTGTAGATGCAAACACATTTCTGCTTGTTTCTCTCACACACATCGGTATGTGCTCTGAAACCAATTATTATCAGTGATATTTTGACATCTGTCACAGTTTTTCTTTGTCAAACAGTCGCACACAATGAAACTAGCACTACCCCTTTATTATCGCTTACTTATTTATATAGATGTGTAAATGTGTGAGATGACTGTAAATTAATCTAAACATAGGATTTATAAAGGGGCTCATACAAGCTCATATAATAGATAAGTCTTCAACTCTGACAAGAAATGTGATGCTTTAGCTCCCCATTTATCCACAGAGACTATAGGTCTGTCTGTCGTTATTGTTTACACCCACTCGCTGCTTTGTCTTCCATGTGGTGAAGCAATATCCATCATCTATACCACTTATTTCTGAATAGGTTCACAGGGGGCTGGAGCCAATCCCAGCTGACACTGGGTGAGAGGCGGGGTCCACCCTGGACAGGTCGCCAGTCTACCACAGGGCTGACATGTAGACAAACAACCACACACACTCACACTCACTCCTATGGGCAATTTAGAGTCACCAGTCAACCTAAGCTATGCAGGTCTGTGGACCGTGGGAGGAAGCCGGAGTACCCGAGAGAACCCACGCAGATACAGGGAGAACATGCAGACTCTACACAGAAATGCCCCGGGTCGGCCCGGGCTCAAACCCAGAACCTTCTGTGAAGCAATATATTAAGAGAAAACTGTGTTTGTGGCTGCAGCAGTAAAAGTACAGTAGCAACAATAGTTAATTTTGTTGTGAAGTATTGTTGATAATTAAAAAGTGGCATCAATAATGCTAGCAATGACAAAGTTGAACAAACAGTACTTACTCCCTCCTTTGCCTGTCTTTTCCATGCGATACTGGTATATGTGTAATGTAAACAGCATGTGTGAGTTCCTATGTTCTTCTTCGGTGGTGCTGGGGCGTTGGCTACTGTGGCGAGCTGCTATGGCTGCATCCAGAAACCAGGCTGCCTTCTCTGGGGTTGGTGCACGTAGTTCAGACTGGTTCTGGAGCTGAAAAATGTGTGGTGCAGAGAGATTATGTGGATGTTGCATTTTTATAGGCATGATAAGGAAGCAGCAGTGAGTCGCCAGAGGACAGAGAGCCAGACAGGGTACCACCTCACTGTAGCTAGGGGGACTTGGTTTATCTACCACAAAGTGCCCAAACACTGATAGTATTGTGTACTAAGAGGATTTAGCATGCAGAGAACTGACTAGCATATTCTAAAAACATTTCTGACTTGCCTGCAGGTATGAGAGGAAGAGAGAGGGAGAAGCAGTTTGCATGTGTTGTACTGTAGGATATCATTACTGATGGGATTACGTCAGATTAGTTAAGGATTACACAGATGTGCTTTTATCAGACCCTCTGATCCCATAAGCATATAACTGCACACACTTGCTCACTCTGTGACACTCGTTTTTAGCACTGTTTTACACACTCTTCACTCCTGACTGCAAAGAAATGAATACCTTAAAATGAATGATGTGATTAAAATGAATGGTGGTGATTAACTTTAATGTCATGTAAGCAGCCTTTTGTAGTCTGAAATGTGCTTATCAAAATGGATTGTTCGGGAATCAGTAAATTCTAAATAATTAAAAATACCATTGTATTTATTATTATATTATTTTCATTCATGTCTTCAAGGGTTTGGCACTTGAGACAGATGAATATCTCGTATCTTAATAAATACTGCACCACAGCAATCTGAAAATGTTCAGCAACCTTCTATGGGGGACAGGAACAAGCTGATCCCTGTAGTTAAAGTGACCGGTGAGCTCATGGTTATCAGACTGCCTGATCTGCCAGTGGACAAAGGACAGCCCTCTCAAAGGTTCAACCCATCCTGGACTGTCCTTTCATTCTCTGTATTCAGAGTGGAAAAACCAAAGTGTGTTTGGGTCAAAAGTCCTTTTACTTCTTGCCTTGTCATAGTGGTAAATGCTTAGGATGACTCAGCCACTTAAAAAAAAAAGTTAAGCATAGCAAGGTGCAAGGCTTCAAACACACACACACCATCTGCTGTGTGTCTAAATGTGTACATGTGTGAGGGTGTGTGTACCTGCATGCCACAGATGGGGTCCTCACATAGATACACTCCAGGTGACTGTCCGTCCTGTAAGCTGCCTGTAGCCACTTCAGACAGTAAGTCTTTAAGGTTCTCCTCTTTTCCCCAAACCTACATAAACACAAGTTGAGTCGCAGTAGTCAGCTCATTGTCCTTTATGTCCAAATCTTTTCCCATATTGACCAATAAATCTGGTCAGACCAGTTTTAAAGAGGAGACTCCAGGCTTCTAATTAGTCATTACTTATGATGGCAAGTTTTAAAAAAATAGTTAAAACCATACATTTACTGGTAATTGATGACTTCACTGCTACAGTAGCACTGCAGCTACTACCACTTGTACTTAGAAAGCTGACTGTCACTAGTCTTCTTCCTCAGATGTTTGTATCAGCAGTGGTCCCTGTTTAGCTCTGCTGGGAATGTTTTAAATTGAGGTCTTGTCTGAAGCGCTCACCTCAACTGCGGAGACGCGAACAGAGAATCGTGCTCCTGTTTTCTCCTTCCTTTCATTGATGAGCTTAAACAACCAGGAGATGGCACAGGGGATGATACCCAGAGTCTGAAGAGAGTCGTCTCGGCCAATCATTGTGTACGATTTACCTAGACAGAGAGATGAAACGGGAAGAGTGGACAGAAAAAGATGGAGCTATATCAAAAAGAACATCAAAAAAGGCACAAAAAGTACTTTGTATGAACAGATGTGTGTCCCTTTGAGGCACAACATGAAGATTACCCCCGCACACATACACACCTGCTCTGACTGTCAGGAGTTGGAGATCAGACACACACCAACACAAAGCCATGTGTCACACCTAACAATCACACTGACACAAACACTTGCACAGAAACAGAGGACTTCAAAAGCCAGACTTCTGTGATGCAGGGTGGAGGATCGTGTGTGATATGTCCTGAGGCGGGGACAGAGGGCAGGCTGCTGGCTACACTGTCATTTTACATGGTTCTCCCTCAGTGTTTCCTGGAGCATCTCGATTTACTGTCAGAACCGAGATGCATTTCATGATTTGTCACAGAAACTAGATGAGAAATTGGTAACAGGCTCAACAGAAAGGGCTGTGTATACTGTAATTTCAGAGAAGGTTTTTACAATTATAGTAGTGTTTAAATGGTGTTAAAATGTTTAACGCTATCTAAAGCAGTGGTAGAAAGTAACTAAGTACATTTACTCAAATACTGTACTTAAATATTGTTAGGTATCAATACTTAAGTATTTTCATTTTCTGCTAATTCACACTTTGACTTTGAGGCAAATATTGTACTTTTTACTCCACAACATTTACTGTATTTTATAACTTACTAGTTACTTTTCAGAACTAGATTAACACAGAAGTTACAGTATAATCATAAGGTGTTATTGATCTCTGGTGGAAAATTCACAAGCATATCCATCCATTATCTATACAGCTTATACTGAACTTGTCCTGAACAGGGTCATGGGGGCGACTGAGGAGAGGCGGGGTCCATCCTGGACAGGTCACCAGTCTGACATTATAAACATATAAACTAGTTAAAACTTCCTCCCCCTTTACCAGCTGCAACATCAAAGTGATAATGATCTGATACAATGATGCACATTAATGTGAAATGTGCCATTCTGCATAATGAGTACTTTAACTTTTAGCATTTGAAGTATGTTTTGATGCTAATACTTTTTTACTTTTACTTAATATTTTGAATGCAGGACGTTTACTTGTAACAGAGTATTTTTATACTGTGGTATTGCTACTTTTGCTTAAGCAAGGGATCTGAGTATTCTTCCACTGCTGATCTAAAGGACCATGTTCTTCTAGAAGAAAAAAAAGAACAATTAGCATCATACTTATTATGTAACAAATCAAATGGACTCTCAGTCATATGTAGAATCACTACACAACCACAGAACACTTGAACAACCCAACTTGTTGTTTGTCTTTCAGGTCTGTGTATATGTGAGAGAGATTTAAATTACACATTTATGTGAGTTTATGTGTTTCCTTTCCACAGGCTAACAAGGCATGGTCAGCTAGTCGACTGCTCCACAGGAAACTGCAACACAGTGAAGCTATGCTACGGGCAGTAAGGCTGTGTGTGTGTGTGTGTGTCTGTGTTTGTGTGGTTCATGTATATTCCTTTCAATTGGTCTCATCGAGCTGAATTGCTTTTACTGTCAGAAAGAAAGTGATCAAGGTGAGAAAGTGTATCAGCACTGTATCAGGAGTTCAGGGCATGCACATGTGAGCTTACACACACACACACACACGGGTCACTACAAAAAAAAAAAGATCCATCCAAAGCCAGAAATTCAATAACTGACAACACAATAAATCAGACATGATTTAAAGCCGGGGGATTCAATTAGAGTCCCAAAGTTCATCCATTTTTTCTATTTTTTATTCCTATTCAATAAAAACCTTGTTACTCCTTATGAAACTGTGCATGTGTGTGTACATGAGTGGACCTGCCCATGTCCAAGTCTCCCCAGTCTACAGCCAAGGGCCACACGGCTGACAATAAGTGCTCATTGTGTTACTTTCCCCATTTTAATTAGAAAAAAGAAATGCCATTACAATGTAGTCTCATTCAGATCCATGGCCTTGGGTGATCAACATCACAAAGAATGATGTCATCTACAGCAGCCGGCATTTAATCTGAAACTAGTGAGGCCACAGCCGCTTTATCACAGTAATATAACAGTAAAATTGACTGAGAGCAAACTCTCTTTGATGGATTTTGCAGTATCAAAAGCCAGAAGACTGTATACTGTATAATCCAACACAATCCAGCACCGACAGTGGTCCGTTCTGGGAGTGTGTTTTGCAGACTGGTTCCAGTCATATTATCCAGTATGAATCATGACACAGTAGGCATTTTCATGTGTCAATATCTGACAGCTGAATGAAAACATGTAAACATGGTGCGATGCCAAACACTGATGTAGACAGGCTGTCTGATGTGTATGCCATGTTGGGTTTGTGTCTTTGGAAAGCTGTGGTGATTACATGTGTATCTGTTTGTTTGATCTGCTGGAGGGAGTGGTGTGGGTTCTGCATGTGTGTGAGAATCTAAAAACAGATTTAAAGGAGCATTCCTGTTTATTACAACTTGGGTTTTATTTGTGTATTTGACCATCATTCTTATTCCTGTGCCTTGCTGTAGTTGTGTGCACTCACACTGCAATGAGGGATAATTACCAACATTAAAATTTTTCTCAATTCAATTATTTTTAGAAAGCGATCAAACATATTGATTTAGCGCTTCATCAACTCCAGCTAGTCTAGAATGCAGCAGCCCATATTTCTTCTATACTGGCTTCATTTCATCCAATTTAGAATTGTAAACGGCTCCTTTTTGCTTTTAAAGCGCTAAATGGATTTGCACTTTCATATCTAACTGAGCTGCTTCACCCCTATTGTCCAAGCAGGTCACTTAGATCTTCTAATCGGTTAAATTTGGAAGTGCCAAGGTCTAATTTAAAGCTCAAAGGTGATTGTGCTTTTGCAGTGGTCGACCTGAACTGCCTCCAGGTTGGCTGCTTTCAGGTTGGAATCACTTAAATCTTGACTGAAGACACTTTTTTACACTTGCATTAGTGTAAAAAAGGTTGAAGGGTCTAGTGCTTTGGTTTATTTTGTATATATCAGCCTCGTTTGTGCTTTATCTGTTGTTATTTATATAGTTTATTTCTAAGTTAACTGTTTTAACTTACTTTTGTTTCATTTATTGTTTTCTGGAACACTTTGTTACCATGAGATTTTAAAAGGGGACATATAAATAAACTTGATTTGATTAGGGTACTGTACCAAGCCTTTTTGTCATACAAGCTGTTTTTCATACACACCACCACATCGGAAAAGGAGCAGCTGTATCACTGAATGCATCAAACACACAAATGGCACTATGTATTATCTAAATTTGTCCCATTCAATCCAATAGCATTTATAAAAACTCTAGAAGAGCTGTTTATCCAAAAGCGTCAGAAGCACAAGGAATCCTGCGCAGAGCTTTGCAGCGCATGTGCCCACTCTAAAACCTTTGGGGAATGACATGCAGCAAACTCAGCCAAAATGTAACCAGCTCTGTTGCAATTCATGGCAGTAAAACAAATATTTTCTAAACTTAGTTAATCTGTCTAAACTACTGGCTTTTTTGTGACCTGTCTCACTGTCTCATGCGCTCCTTCTGACTTTGTCGTAGTGGTGCTGCTGCGTTCCCCTTTCAGCTATTACTTGAATGAGTTCAGTGTTATCATAACTGATGAAAATGACAAAAAAAGAGATCCTTTAACTGTGTACAGCTACATGAGCTACACCAAGACTATAAAAATAATATGGAAATTGGTTAGTACAGACAGTGTTTACATGTTGGTTTTTACATAAAACCTCATTGTTGTTTGTTCCAGTAAATGTCTCAGCCATCAAGTGAGCCCTGCTTAACCGCAGCATTTTTACTGCCTTTGTTGTTTGTCTGCAGTTCAAGGGGACTTACTGTCAAACCACCAGCTGGATATATGAAGATCATAAGCTAAGAAAGATAATTCTGCTGGCAACTACAGGGATAGACACAACAGAGGTTGACCCAGAGTTTAAGAGCATGTCTGTGCGTCCATGTGTGTGGTGGATGTTTGTGCCAGTGTGCATGTGTGGGGGTTCAGACATGTTGCAGTAAGGGGTCCCGGCCTTTTTTAAGACCGCTTCTCTAAAAAGCAGCTTCAGAAGGATTAGGTAAAGAGAAAGGGTGAGAGAAGCGCAGACAGAGCAGGCTGCTTTCAGCTTCCGCAGACACTAATCCTCTTCTTTCTTTCTGAGAGCTGAGAACCAGTGCAGAGACAGCCAAGTGAAAGGCACGCTGACAATCAGACGCACACACTAAAGATGGCTCACGCTCAGATTTTGTAGTCTGTGTACATGTATGTGTGAGTATTACCCAGCTTGGAGTGTCCAAAGCAGAAGACACAGCCATCTGCTCCGTTCACCACTGACTGAATCACCTCAGCAACGGTTCCCGCGGACACCTCCGCCTAGCAACAGACAGGCGGACAGAGGGAGGAATGAAAAGAGATGTAGGAAGAAGGAAAAGAACATCATATATACATCTCACATTATCCTGAACTGGTGCTGTGTGTTTGCCTTTTAGCATTAAACACAAATCAGCAGTTAACCTTTAACATCACCTCCTCAGGGTGAAAAGTTGAGTGACGGACAGAAAAACAAACGTTAGGTTGCACTAACTGGGCAGGTTGGGAAAGTTTTGCCCTATTCCAAGAAGACTACTGCCATTGCAGGCATCTTGGTCAGACCAAATAAATAAAAATATGCCTAAATTAGCTATTTTTATTATGTTCAACATTCATCTGACTCAAAATGTTTTGACATTTTGGGAAATAGTCTTTTTAGGTGTGCTGTAGGAGGAGAAGTGAGTCTGTTACACATCATAAATTTGCTTGACCAGTAAACTTTAGAGGTGCTTCTGTCATGATCCCCTGGCACCTCCTGGTAACAGACCTTTATTTTTTTTATACTTCCACTCCCGTTTTGTTTTCTAGCATTACCTGCCCTGACCTGTTTGAGTTACGCACACCTGATTCCTTTCATTATCACCAATCAGTATTTAAGCCAGGTAGTTTGTCTGTGTCCATGTTTTCTGTCTGGTTTAAGACCTTTTTCTTGTCTTTTGTTATGAACTCTTGTTCTTTTTGATGGCCCAATTTTCTGATTGGTCACCTGTTTTCCCCATTGGACTAACCCCTGTTCCATTAACCTGGTTACTTGTTTACTCCCTTTTGTGCTTGCCTTGTCACACTGTGTGTGGATTTGTTCTCTCCCTGTCGACCTCATGCATTTTGCCTCTATGCTTGTGTTAGCTCTGGTCGTCTGTTTCTAGTCTGATTTGCTCTTGTCTTAGTTCACTGCCCTAACTCAGTCCTCTGTTCACACATATTAACTGTGGGCTGAGACCGGTTAGATGTCAAGCTGAGCTAACTGTTTGCAGACAGATATGAGATTAGTGTCAAACTTTACATAACTTTTGACAATGTATTTCCCAAAATGTCAAATAATGTAAAATGTAATTGCCAGCAATGGAGGCTTGCAGCCAGTTTGTCACCAGAGGGCATTTTTTAGCCCAGTGGTAGCTGACAGAAATTTCAAATAACTCTGACTAAAAGGCTGAACGGCTTTTCCCATGAATATGACATAAGTCCAGCTTTTTGTGTGTTGCTGTCATTTTTGTCTATCACTGTATTATCATGAATTCAACTGCTCTCTAAACTTACAATCTCTTCTCTTACCTGTGATGCATCAGGAGGGAATGCAGCATCAAACGTGAACATCTTCGGAGGGACCTGATTGGCACCTGCTCTTTTCTGGGAGGCAGCGCTCGGTATCTGATTGGCTGACGGGTCCATGATGGTGATCTGTTTCTTCCTAGAATCCACTTTAAGGAAGGAGCTGGACTCGGCTGCATCCAACTGAGACACTGGGCACACACGGACCATCACTTTCACCTGGTGACAGAAAACAGGTGTTGAGAAATGACAGGTAAGAAGAGATTTTTGTCTTTGGCTGAACACGTTCTTTTCCTTGCTGAGGCTGATTATCCAGTTCTTTTTCACTGAAAGATTTCTTTTCTGAAGAAATCTGCTCAACTTGAAACTGAACAGATGTGATGTTTTTCAAGGATTAATGCTAGAAGACAACTGAACTTAGCTGCATCAAAAGACTCCTATAGAGCCACAAAATCTAGCTTTTTACTTCTACATGTGATGCACACCTCTCTCACCACCTTGTCACCATAGCTGCTGCTTCTCCTCCCTCCCTTCTCCTACTTCACCTGTCACTCATATCTCTCTCTTTCCTAAATCATTCCTTTTTCTCTCTTCACCCCTCTCTCTCTACCTTCAGCTCACTGCCACATTAAAAGCCTGAAGTGCAAGAATCCTGTTTTAGACTTCTTTCATTCTTTCTTCCTCCCACACTGTCAAATTGTTAGCAGCCGCAGTTTACCATCTGACAGCTGCCGCTGCTGCTGTCTGATATCAGAACAAGCAAAACGCTGCGTCTTCAAATCTGAAAGCCCTCCAGAACGTTTTGCAGACTGTATAAACATTTTTTCTGTTAAAGATGTTTTAAAGTTTGAGGTACTTTCTATCAGTTTATTGTTGTTCTCCTTCTCTTCTGGATACACTGTATTTGTTTCTCTTGCTCAGTTGATCTCACTGCCAGTATCACTCTCATGTTCAGTCCGATTGTTTTACTGCCTCAGTGTTTGTCACTAAATCTTTCTTCTTGCTGCATTACCCTGAAGGTTTATGCAAGATTTTCCCTTCTGACGAGGCTTGGGTGAAGCGGATGCTTTTCAGGTACTGTGCATTCTTGATGGATATAGTCACAACCACACCAACCATCTCAGGGACTGATCAGAGCCACTCTGATCATGAAATATATTTACACTGGATGGATTCTGATGTTTATGGGGATGGTATTCAAGTGCCTGAGTGTTTACTTGTAAAACCTATGCTCTCTACTTTGAACACAGATTTCCTGCTTTCTGTCATCCTTAATATCACCGTTGCCGCGTGACATTTCAGTGTTGTTGTCTTGAGACAGGTAAAGGTTATGCCTCAGTCCAGGCGGATGCTTTTTATTCCATTATTGATCCAATTTTCGTTGAGTTCTACTGAATGAAACACAACAATGTTTTTTGTGGTTACAATGTTACAGGTAACTTTCAAGGTGGTGAAAGCTTCTGCATTTTACCACTTGATGCTTTAAGTTGCAGCAACGCTTTTTAGTGCAGCTACAGTACTGCCTTTTGTTTTTTATAGTGACAACTGCTTCTTTAGAAAACAGTAGTTTTATCATTTATTGCATAATACTGCACCTATTGCTAAATGTTAAACAGTGTCGTATGTCATTACTGTATTCTTTCATAAGATGAATTGCACACTATCATCATCAAAAGACAGAGTCAGAACCTCAAGGATGAGCCTGCAAAGTACAAATGTAATAACAAGCTACGATGATGTAGACTCTGCTGTCTAACACGATCAATGACCAGGCTATAGAAAACAAGCTCAGAGTAAATTGGCTACAGCTTGTGATGCTGATGGCACAAATCTGTAGATTATTTTGGACAAGTCAGTTTAAAGCATGACAGAGCTTAATGACTGACAAACAGCAAAGCAGCTGACAGTTTAAAATACACAGGCAGAAGACATGCATTTTCTCACTGCTGCACTTGTGATGTTATGAGTTGATAAAAAAGTGCATGAATGCATCATTGTTTTGGATTCTCTGAAGCTACACTACCTCATTTCATGAGGAGCTACAGCCTGGTCCTTGACAACACAGTTGTGTATACTCCACATCCCAAATAAATCCCATACTACTCAAACTTAGTGTGCTATGACTAAAAGTAACCTTAAATGAGTGTTGTGCCATGTTTTTTCTAAGCAAGGTAGGATCTTGTGTTGACAGGGAGCACAGGTGCAAGGTAGATAAACAAGACTACAGTGTTTCTGTGGCTCCTAACAAGGGATGTGAGATTTTTTTCAGTTCATGCTTATTAGTAGCACAGATGAATCATTGTCTGAAGTGTGATTCTGCACTGCACCTCTTATTAAACTCCACCCTGGGATTACGAGTGGCACCATAATCCCAAAACACTCCAAACCCCACTGCACTCGGGAGATAGAGCCTTCACAGAAAAAAAGGAAAACTGTCAGTACCTTCAAGTATATACTTATTTACTTATGGTCCCATTAACTCTGAACAGTGATCATAAATAAAAATAGTTGCACCGTAAAAGTCGGTGACTAAAAAGAATATTTCAAGTCTTTGGCTTGTTATAGTGTAGCGTCTGTTTTACAGGCTGGAAATGTTAAACAATATTTTCATGTTTGAGCTTGATTTTATTTCTAAAGTAATTGGATTTTATTTTCCACGACATTACTGTGCAGCCAGATAATATCAATCACTTAAGCAATTTTCTACAAAAGCGGCTTTAAGAACATGTCGTTTTTGTCATTAATTATTTTTCTGCGCTGAGGCACAAAAACTAAAAGCAACCAGAACAAGGTCATGGTGCCATGAACGAACCCACCTCAAATGTGGTTTAAAAAAAAAAAAAAAACATAATTAGCTAATATACTGCCAAGTAAAAAACACAAAGGCAAACCTCTAAGAGCTCCTACTGCATTTCTGTATATATGAACATTCTCTCTGTCACACACAAACCAAACATAACACATTAACAGGCTTTCCTTTGCTTGCATCATTAAATGACTGCGGGCCATTTAAGAGAGTAGGTTCAATAAACTGTGTGCTAGTGAATGAGTAGGTAATTTTATGCGTGTCCATAAACAAGAGGGTGATATAAACTGAGATGCCCTCTGAATGCGATAAATATGTTACCTGTAGGTAAACTATGATATTAACGGTTAATGTCAGGTCAAAAGTTTGTATTTTTAAAAAAGATACCATATCACTATACAAAAAGACATGCGCTTAGATTCAGTGCCTCTTTTGACCCTAGTAAAAGAGACCATCACATCAGTAAGAGCCTGGGGGAAGAACTTTACCAGCACACACTTTACAAGGCGTAACTCATAAAGTCCCCCCCTCGCCCCCCAGAGCTCATTTTCTCATGTGAAAGGTAAAAGAGTTGGCTGTGTGTGGGGGAGACTGAGCTGTGATTGGAGCCATAATGCTGTTCTGTGTTCATTTTTCCAAATATTGAGGGCGAGACTCTTACATGGGGCCATTAACCTCCATTCCCCTTTTTTCAAACTGCCAAAGCTCTGTGGTAATGACCACCAAACACCATCAGGAAAATGGACACATTAGCACAATTATGACAACATAAGGGGGTAGATTCATATTTTTCAAGTCTATCTTAAAACAATACTGACATCCCTAAAGGTACTCTGGGAGTTATTGATCACTATAATTGTTCCCTGTGTCCACCCCGGCCTTGAAGAAACTCCTTCCTAGAGCAATTTCCGTGTAAGAGATTAGGGATATAAATAACAAACCTTGTTTTGTGAAAAAATACTGTACATTCTAAAGTCAGATGATAAGCCTGACAAACTGTGAGCCTACTGTATGTTTTCAGGGACACCATTTTTTTACAGTAAGGCCACTTTCAGACTGAGTTTCAAAGATGTGGGTAAAAAACCAGCCCTCTTTATTCATTTCTATGGGGGATTGCATTCACCACAGGCGGCTCTGGCAAAAAGGCGTAGCCCTGTGCAGTGAAAAATCTGGTTCAGCTTTTACTGCACCGAATGGTGACGTCATCAGGCAAGGGTGCAGCATTGACCAATCATGTGTGGGGGACAGTTGGAACATGGACGCCCACAGGAGGAAGACTCTTTGTTTACCTTATTAGCATGTGCATTCACTGCTATTCACTTTCAAATTTGGGCCACACTTACGACACACCATGTGTTTTCATTAGTTAGGTACTGGATGTTAAACGATGTTTTTATGTCAATGCTAACACACTGGTGGTAGAAATCTGTGCTAAGTAGGCTACATTAGCACCATGGCTAATGAAAACACAGTGGAAACTTGCGGGCTGGTGACTGAAGCCACTCACGTTGACTCATCACAATGTGGCCGTATCATGCATGTCTACAACACTTGTTTTACTGTGCTCAGTGAAAGGACCGGTTCTTGCTACCATGCTAACTCTGAGAGACGAGGCAGTCCAAGTAACTTCAAAACAGTGCTGATTTATTCAAAGGATCACAGGTAAAATTAACATTACACGCTCAGATATCTTCCACCTCCAACGTGCTCGCAGGCAGTTGTAAGATGAAAGACCCTGAACCTCAATTGGCCTATACATTATAAAACCTCGGTTGGGCTAGCCCCATACTACACAGAAACGTCAACCGAGATGTCTCTCTCGCCAGCTTTGCAGCTGGCTCTGGCAATAGTCAAAACATGAAGCAAATCAATGTGTGAATGTGTGTGTGTCTGTTGGTTAAGTGGTGTGTAGCTAAAAACATTCTCACGACCTCTAATACATGTCGTGACTCAAACATAGGAACATTATGGCTAAGTCTACAGTTACATCATAATAATAATATTAAACATCCTGTCTGCTGATAGTCATCAACTCTTCTCTCTAGTTGTCCTTGACCAGATGTACCCTGTAGAAACTCATAAGCATGCCTAAGCATTTAACAGTCTAACTAGACATCCTATTTCCACTAAACATTTCTAATACATCAAGTATCTATCCAATATCTATCTGACTAAAAATACCTAACATCAGTCTGAGCGTGAGTGCTACGCAAGTTACATAGCTGAGCTGTCTGAGCGTGAATGCTACGCAAGTTACATAGCTGAGCTGTGTTTGTGTCTGTGCTTCAAACGTTTAGTAGACCTGAGCTTTGTTCTCCAGATGCTTGAAACTGCAGCTTTTGGTTGTCATGCTCACCACTCGGCTAGAAGTATGTCTGTATGTGTTTATCTAATGCAAACCGCAATACCCTCA